AGTCGGACGATAAATCAGGTTTTTATCGATGAAAGATTAATGCAGGCACAGTTTAAAAATCAAGATGGTTTTAATTGTTGGATACGAATGTAGGATGCGGTAGAACATCGTGGGCATGACAATGGCAAATTGCTGATCTTTGACATCGTTTGGGAACAATGGGGAGACACGAGGAGATTTATGATGTGCAGCGAGTGTCGCCGTTTCAAATTCGTAAGTTCGTAAGCTTATGTCACGCGGCAGATTTGTGCTCCTACGTAACAGTATATCTATACATTAAGTGTAATATAGTAGCTTGATTTGTGCAACTACATGGTTCAAATCCCGCCTGTGCCTTAAATTTATTGTAAAACATTTTACATTCTTCAGTCTAGTCGAGGCGACCTGCTGCCTACTTATTTAAAATGACAGCAAATTTATTTTATAATTTCTAAATAAATATATACAATTGTGACTATAATTAGTATTACGTAACAGTAAGCGTTTTTTTTTATTTATTCTTGGTGTTGAAACCACAACAAAGAGGGTACTAAAATAATTGGAATGATTCTAAAGTTCTAAATATAAAATTTGCTATATAATTTGGACTATTTCAGAATAAAATAGTCCAAATTATATATATATTTTTTTATAATAATAAGACAAAATATTAAAAAAAAATTCGCTAGTATTTTATTTTAATATGGCTAAGGTACGGTAAGGTAATTATTACGAAAATGGTTACCTGCAATTTAAGGAATTTACCGTTACAAGAGTAATTCTTAAAAAGAAAATGCAAAAAGTAGCTTCGCATTGTGCGTACCATTCATTGATAACAATAAGCAATAAAAATTGTACAACATTTTTGAGCTTGTTAAACAATTAAGTTTTCAAGTTTAAACAAATACCTGTCAAATTTATGACGCTGTTAAGGGCACAATACGATTGCAAAGTTCAATAAAAAATGGTTTTCGACCGCAAAAATCTTGGCACAATTGGTAAATGTATAAAGAATATCCGACGTCCCTTTATTAGGTGTTCATACACAAAACGCGCTCCTTGTAAATACGAGTTATTCATTAAACATTTAAATCGAGAAACGGTAACTTAATGAATTTAAAATGGTAAATTTACCTAAAATACCAATTCTAACATCTGGAGTGACGCAATGGAACAGCTGATCCCATAAAATATACTGTAAACAGGGACGCAATAAAATGGAGGCCTCGCGACATTCCACGCGACCCATATTTTCTACCTATAGCTTGGTTAACATGGAATAAAAATAAGCTAAACACGACCTTAAAAGTACCTTATCTCATCATAGATTCTCGTATATCTAAATTCCTTAAACGTAAAATTAATAAGTACTTTTACTGAATAATTCAATTCATTTACATTAATGAATTAAAGAAATAATTAGACTGATATGCACGCTTATGTTATTGTTTGTTTTGTTTAGTCACAGATTCAAGTCCTGTCCGTGTCAGTTTTTAATGCAAATACACACGTATGTCGACATCTTAAACGTCAACTTCATATTAAATCATATTATATATTTATAACGATTTAAGTTAAAAACAAGTATATTAAAATTGCGTCCCCTATCTTGAATTATATTAAATTAACGACATACACGAAATAATGACATAATCATGACATAAATCAAATCGGACGGAAACAGAACGAGAAACAACAAACCTACCAGCAAGTTAGCAATAAACCGAGCATTCCTAATTAATAAAAACGAAATTTATAGGCGCAATAAAATGTGTATAGCACCATATAACGATAACGCTATTATAACTAGATACGAGATCGTAAAATTAATAAAAAATTAGTCGAGTTATCGGCCGGGTGTCTTCAGGCCGGTGACGTCGTAAACTGGTGGAGTTAGTGCTTCGGTCTCGCGCTGCGACGTTTATACAAAGCGGGCAGGTGTGGACATTATCTTAATTCAACCGCTACCGAACCGATTGGAAGGTGCGCTTGATACTCAAATGCTGCGAATGATCAGCTTTTTAATCCGCCGATTTCATATTTACTACAACTGTGACTACTACCTTAGTATTTTCCTGTATTTTTCGCTTCATAAAGGCTAAATTAATATCAAGCGAAAACAATAATTAATGCTTTTTTTTATAAATTAAATTTGTACTTAATATTTAAAAATTGATCGCTTAGATAGTCCATGTGGCACTAGGCACTTAAGCTAGATTAATTGTTGTAAAAACTAACAAACTTAAAAGCAAGAAATGATAAATTAAATCTTATATAAATGATCTAAGCAAAAATTTGTAAAAAATTTAAATCAGTCGAAGAATAGAGTTTTATTACCCGTTAAAAATATCATTACGATGACTTTTATAAGTCAGCGTTTAATTAAGCACGTATAGTACACTTAAATGTGGTTAATATATTGCTTATTGCTTTATACAGACGAATTTAATTAATTAATTCGCAATAAGAATAAATCCCAGATTCTCGAATTGACGTTATTGCAGATCAATCTCTTTGAAACCTAAGCTATACGCCGTAAACGGCTTAACGCATTGCTAATTTATTTAAATTACCTGTTTCTAGTTAATTGAAATGGTTATTCTGAGAAATAAATGTTTAAGAGTACAATATTCTTTGGTTAATATTTATTAGATTGTGTTTTGTTTTATAAAACTTTGGAATAAATTAAGAATAAGCAAAGCTTCTAAGGCAATGCGTTTTCTGAAGAGTTTCTCATGAACCGTCCTAAACATATCATAAAATTGAGTAAAAAAACCTAGTTACCTAGTTTTATTTTGAAAATATTTTTTTAGATTATAAAGAAATGAGTGTTATTATTACATAGATTAAGTAAGCAGGGCATGTTGATAATCTTGGTAGGTAGTTTATAAACTAGCGCCATTTACATCTAATCGTGATAAAAATACACTAAATATCAAAATATGAATAATAAATATAAAACCGATTAACTCTATTTTTGTTTTGTATAACACAAATGGGAGTATTGTATTAGTTAGCCTATTAAAGTTACCTTTTGACATTTTCCTTGCGCCACTAAAATGACCTAACGTAAATCAGTGGAGATTTAACTTGATTAACTGGGGTCTGAATGTTCCTAGTTACAGTTTCAGTGAGGTCAGCGGGTTAAAGGGCGGGGGGTGGTAATATACTAAGAGTTGATTTCTATAGCCTAACGATACACCAGGCTTTGGTATAAGGGAAAGGCGGAAACGTTTTACTCAGGTATAAAAATATTAAGCTGGCTCAGTTTAAGATAAATAAGTCATCGTAACGTTTTTTTGACCGGCTCGTTGGTGCTATGTCGGTGATCTCCGCCGAGTTCACCATATTCTAATGAATTCATAATTTCTGAAACATGTACCTCTTGTGTCTCTGGAAATCTGGATTAAATAGGTGGTAGGAATATTGAAATTTCGTGCGAAAAAGCGGTTAAGGTTATTCGCGTTTCAGTTTTAATCTGTCGATTTCAGAATAACTAAAGCTAAAAAAGGTTGACTATATGGCAGTAGTTTTGACCTGCTATGAAGTGAATACCATTCTTGTCTCTCCTCCTCTACTATTAAAAAAAAATATTTTGTCCAAAGTAAATTACTATAAATATAAAAAAAATGATTTTTATTTGTTGGATTATAATTTTACGTTTATTTTGTATAGTTTATTAAGCAGTATACTTAAATACTGTCTATACTTTACGCGAGTAGTACACATTTAAATAAAACACTTTAAGTTTGACTAATAAATCGCGTTTTAAATCGTTAAAGTGTTTTATTTAAATAAGTAGTAGGTATACTTATTACATTAAAAAATATATATATTTGTCGCTTTAACGTAAACCAGTTCTAAAACTAAAACTCACATGACATAACGTACCCGTGAATTAAAATGGCCCTTTATGTTTTTACTAAATCGTTACATAGACATAATTGTACTGGATGAGTCAAGGAACACATATTCGAATTCGTCAGAGCGTATGTTAGTAAGCATGGTAGCCATTAAAATTATTTGATTACACCTGTCCACTATATCATTTGTACAGTAATTGAAAGTCATTATTTTTAATATTAGGGAATGAAGCCGCACTTTAGGTAGGGAGAGTTATCTTTTTACATATCAGTCTACATGTTTTATATAGTATAGATTTTTACTCAGTGTACCCTATTTATTTATTAATATTGTGAATAAACAAAAATAACTAAAAGTCTTTTTTAAATTATTTTTACTGCAATACGTAAAATGAAACATTAAAGATGTTATATGAATGACGCTATCTAACTTGTTCATTAATTGGTAGTTGGAATGGAATTGTGAGGAATTCTTTACAAAACTACGCGTATTAACATCTATTTTTTGTGATATTTGTTCAAAATGTAGGCGTACATAGGAGCGTAGATTGAAACTTGTATTTAAAAAAACAAAGTGAAGGCATAGGTACACGTAGTAGTACACATCACATTGAAATAAAACACTTAAATGGTTTAAAACGGGAAATATTTTAGTTAAGCTAAAAAAATATTATAACTACGTCTTACTTTAATTAGGTGTCCCCGCGACCACGGCTGCTGCCAAGCAACTTCATCAGTTTTTAATTAAGTATATTTAAACATAATAATAACTGCTACTTAGGTCTTACCTTGTTAAATATAGAGTTTACTAATAACTTATGGACGCCAATATTTTATATTACTTATTTTCATACAACATAGACATGTTTGAGCTTCGCATCGTCTGTGGAAACATTCGCGTCGTCCGTGCGGTCGCATTTATAATCTGCGCGGTCTTTAACCCTATAAAACTGTCATTTTTCAGTTTCCCGCCAACACAGCATAAATATTGAAGACATATCTCATTAAAGCCCTCAATCACGTCCGTCTTATTCTTTAACAATTCCCTGGAACTCTAGTAATTCAATATTTTAACGGCTAATTTAATAGCCATTATAGGACTAAGCTTAGCACACAGCCCGCGGCCGTTTTCCGTTGTAAACATGACGGCGAGACATAATGTTTTATGTATCGCAAGTATGGTTCAGAAGGAAATTCGCATTAGAATTCTGCGCGAGCGACGGTGATACCAGCATTCGTGCTGTGATAGCCAAACACATCTCCCGTGATGCGTGTGAAAGAAATTTAAGATACCGACTGCTAACCTCTAGACTTCTATATATGCCTTTGCGCATGGAAGAGACAGCAAAAGCTCTGATTACGCGTGAATCGGAGGTTCGTCTGTCGCATCGCATGATCGTCGTGAAGTGCGGCAGTAAACCGTGGTAGGTCACGCCTTAACAATTCTGACGGCATGCATAATGAACGATAGAATGCCTCTCACAATTTGCACTCACAACTGAACTTTGCGCGTCTGATACAACCGAACACTTAACCCACACTGAGGGCGATCGATTTTGTAATTTTAAGATCCAAAGCGCGCCGCCATAGATACGATAGATAACTTAATTTCCTTCATCCTGTGGGTTAATAAATTATAATTTACGATTGTTACTGGACGTCCACGGTGAAAAAATGCTTCACGTAATAGAAACGTCGGTTTTTTCGACCCGCATGGTTAGTTAAAGGCCCTTCCGAGCGCGATGGACGTTCGCGAGAACCTTGAACGCCATAACCGTCTCTTTCTAGAATAATATAAATTAAATATCAAGGATAAATATAAATCTTGAAATACGTCAATAATAATGATGAATGAGCAATAAAGAGATTTATTACTTGATAATATATTAATTAAGTAAATGTTACTAAGTGTGAGAATTATTATATACGCTTTATGGAACCATTACGTGTGATTTTATCTATTTAATATTTTATTTATTCTTTAATTCTATTATTGTGGTGTTAAGCTGAAGGTTGTTTTATTATTTCATAATCGATTTTTACTAGGGGAAGGAGACAGGTATATGTGGCTGAGCTTCATCGTACGAGAAGGGTTGATAAGGTCGGTGTGGCCATTGATCATGGGTATCGACGCTCACCCGAAATTTCTGTTCGTTTCCCGCGGTGAAGCCCCATCATCGAAATTGTCTATTTCGTAAAGCAATCAATTCTACCGCGTTCTACCGTAGATTGAAGAACGGAGTAACTTTCACATGTCTAATTATTGTGGTATAAAAATTACAATCGATTCATAAAAATTTAGTATCGAATAATTATCGATTCCTACCGTAGTGGTGTAAAGTTTAGTGGTAATTTTAACGAGAGGCGAAACGAATTTCTTAGTGGCGTGACCGATCGGAAGGATTCGCTATGGAATATAAAAATACGAATAGATTGCCTAAGAATCATTAAAGAGTAGCGAGTGTTGATATCGGGGTAAGTGAACCGCGTGCAAACGTTTATCACTTTTTATACATTGTAACTGTAAAGATGAATAAACACATAAATAAATTGTATAATTATTTATAATTACATTTAGGTATTTTCCAGCATTAATTAATTATTTATTTCTCTTTTACATCGCTCATTACAAACTAATAAGAGTATATTTTGGAATAAGAATGGGCATAAAGAATTGTATGAAATATGGCTGGTTTAAAAATGGCAGACTAGCAAAAATAATGCCTCTATATCCATTAAATTAATTAAAATGGACTAAAACAACGGTAGTACGTGATAATACAATAAAAAGATGAATTTTATGTGAATTTCACACTGGAACAACACGATTAACCGACTTAGTTCGAAAAGACACATTGTTCTGTAAAACGCTAGTTTCGGCACGAAGCCCCTTATATCACGGACACATTATAAAATAGCCTAAATCCTTTTAAGAGCCACTCAATAACAGGCGCTATGACCGCGACAAAAGGTTCACGGGATCATTAAAAAGATTTCCCACTCGTGCTTATGAAAAATGCGCCGTAAGACGCTGGGTTTATAAATTAAACTCTTTCGTGCATCGCGAAAGGAGCTATTTATACAGTGTTATGATGCAGTTTATGTGGAATTAAATATGGTTTAATAGTTTACTGAGAACAGGTTATCGCTGTAAAATTATTAAATGCAATTTTGCTAAACGGCATTGTTGGTTTTTAACACGTTGCGTTTAGCTAAAAATTCGAGCATAAACGATTGAAATTATTCGAAACGGAAATCGAAGACGGACCGAAATAATCGAACGACGCGAATGGTCAATCGAATGATCGATTATATCGATTCCTATCGGATATGTTAAAATGTCTGTAATTTTACTTTTATGTGGAGTCGGTTAGCGGTTGCAGAGCGGTGAGTCGTGCAAAATTATTAATTGCCTTACTCCTCCGAGTTCTCGGCTTCGGCCGCGTTTCCACTTAAAGCGATATTCCGATATTTAAGCGTTTATATTTTCAATGGCTAAATATTTGATACCTCAGCATTTTATACAAAGTAGCCATGATCATTACATCATTAAAAATGCCCTTTACTGAGGTGGTCATAATTATATGTAAATAAAAACGAGTTTGTTGTAGTTCTATTATTAACTAGACGACAATTACCGGCACATTATGTTTCACTGCTTAATCTATTAATATTAGCTCTGTAGTGGAGATATGATAGACCTTCGTAAATTAGAAAAATAATAGATTTTAATTTAATCGGGAAATAATAATTTAATTAACGTACGAGTTTCACATAAAGATAACAGAATTTTAATTAAAATTATGACTATTTGATTGAAAAAATAACCGGCTCTAATTAAGACCAACCGGTCTATTTCAATGATTACTACATCAGCTAAAATAGCTGTTTATTATATTTTACTAAATACTTCGTACAAGGAGACTGTGAGATGATATACTGCGTTTATTTCTTCCCTTCCTGGCTTCAAATCCTAAAAGAACCTCCCGCGGGCTGACGCAGCCGTTTCGATGGATAACAATATTTAATAACACCTATTTACTTTCACATACAATAAGTACCTCCTTGATTTATTAAAATATTTCATGAAATTTTGCATTTTTAATTTTAGTCGCTTTGTTAACTTATGAAAATAGTTAAACATGCTAAATGCCTCTGTGGTTCAAAATAAGAAATATGTTAGTTAATTTATTTTCAACTACTACCTCACATTTATGCTTTGAATCGTGTTTTAAACCATTACATGTGATTAGTTAATGTATTAAAATGATTATCAATAATAACGACAAACAGACCTTAATTCAAATCGGCATCTTGGATAAGAATGTTATTATAAAATACTAGAATATAAGTAGAAAGATGCAATGAATATTATGTTTATTATTATAACTTGGCGATCTTTCTATTGTAATTTTACAGTGCAAAAGTCAGGATTAAGTAACCCGTTCGTTTCGAAGATTTCGTTCACGTATCACTCAGTATTCTTGCTGCACGTTGTGGAGACTCGAAAATAGAAGCGAAACAAAAATAATTGGAAGCTGCAAGTATTCCAAACAAAGACTCGGGACGAAACAATCGTAAGATTGCAGAAGTCACGGATTGGGGATAGATAACCGATGATTTGAGGCACCGCGTAATAATCTCGACTTGCCGTTCCCATACATATGCTAACATTTCATGTTTGATTGGTAATATTTTAACGGTATCGTTTGATATTGTGCAACGGCAAAACGTTTGAAAAGCAACATTTTCCACACAACACAGGTATAGATGAAATATTTAAGTCTTCAGTAATAAGAGGTCTAAAGTAAGGTATCTTGTCGATGACTAGACTTGTATGGTAAATGCCTGAAGAAAAAGTACTTAAAAGCAGAAACATTGTAACCACCGTTTTTTATTACATTTTTATTGTATAGATTGTAAATTAGTTTTATTTTAGCCGACGTTTCGATTATTTGCAGCATATGTTTTATTTAAATACGTATTTAGTCAATCTGAACATTTTAACTTTAGTATGCCTATATATGTATTTGTTTAGTATCGTATAAGTATTTTTATAAATATCTATAGTAGGTAGATTGAAAAGCATAGATTAATCGGACAGGGTAACATAACAAGGGTAAATGTAAATTATTACAAGAATTTATAAACTAGAACACATCTATAATGGCGATCAATTCTTCGTCTATCACTTAACCTCCAGATTTAAAACAATATTATGAACGTAACATGATTTTTGTTTATTTGCAGAAGCGCTCGGTTTGAAGAGTGGAGCTTTCATCGGACGCACACAAAAACAGCAGACGCACACCAAGACGATACGGGATCATATTTATCACTTCACAGCTGCACACCTATGATCGATGCTCATCCAAGATGGCCGCCAGCGCACCGCGCCACGAGGGAAACTCATGCGCATTCTACTATTATAAATGCGAAAGTTTGTTTGTTTGTCCTTTTTCTACGCCCAAACAGAACAACCAATCCACTTGATTTTTAAGAAAGTTAGTTGGAAGAATGTCGCGCATGTTGAACGGCGTTTAGAAGCTTGTATTCTATAAACTATACCACTTTTAATACATAATAATATTGATTATAACACTGCGATTTGCGAAACGTGCTCACCCGTACACGATTTTGTTCTAACTGTTAAAAAACTTAAAGCTAAACGTATTCAAAACTTGAAAGCCATAAAACATATCTCCCCCATTATTAGTTTATGGTTTGCGACTGTTACGGGGCTATTATGTTCTTATTTTTCTGTGTATACGTTTGTTTTGATTGTATGCGGTACGGACGAGCCAATTTGGGGTACCATTACGAAGCGCTATTGAGTGGGCCTGTTTTAACAACTATTGTTCAAGGTCGTTTTACTCATGATTAGGAGCGTCTACGACAATTCACGAATACAAAAGTTCCCTATAGAATGTTAGTTGACTTTTTAATTTTAACAGCTCCCTTTAGTGAAAAGTAAGTTAATTTTACCATAATTAATGAAAAGGAGAATCGGTAGCTGTACGTGCAGGTAATGCTGGTCTATACAAATAGTAACATATAAACTTCTACCTTGTTTAGAAATACATATCTTATTGTGAATAAGATAATAAAGAATATTTCAAGTAAATCTAAGCATAGAAAGCTAATTTTAATTAAGACGAATTAGCAATTCTTAGTTCATTATGCGGACAAACACCTTGTTAAGATACCTACATACTCGTAAAGATACAAAAATGTCTATCATTTATCTAATAATTGCTCTACCAATCGAAGACTTTTATGAAGTCTCTCATTCTATGACGATTATTAGTAAATATTTATGAATGCATTTTTATTAACACCTTAGTTCCGTAATACGATTTTAATACAGCTATGTAGGAAGATAATAAATAATATTATCTAAAAGATAGAGTAGTGATAATTTATCTATTCCAATAAATCTAAGTCGGAATTCCCTTGAAGTTGAAATGCATAAGGCATACGTGAAGTAGAGCAACCTTCACATCGAGCGCTCATGAGTCACGGATGCGCTTTGCATTCTGTAGTGTGGATATCCAATCCTATATTGTCGAGAAGCTTATATTTAAATTATGAAGCTCAAAATTTTATGAACTACTAATTATAAACTAAATGACTCTACATTTTTTTGTATTTAAAATCATTACCCACAGTTTAATTTATGATTAAAATTAAACATTAAAATGTTTGCATATTTATTGTGGAAATGAAGAGTGTTGTGTGGTGTGTGTAAATAGTCTTTCTTTTTGAAAACATAATAGATTAGATGGAATTTCCTAAAACTCGCATACCTAATTAAAATTATAAATTAGATACCATATAGGTACATATAGATAGGTATGTTTTTATAATAAAATAACAATTAAGCCACAAAAAGCCACTTAATTTATTAAATAACAATAGGAAAAGCAAAATAAAAACAAGACGGATTTAAAATGATACGCGTCGAGTGCAATCTTTAGTTTCGCTTCAAGTGAACAACTAGGTAGTGATTACAATATCTCATTTCGCTTTAATAAAGGAGCATTTAAAATATTCGGCCTCAAGCTGAATTCACTCCGCAATTTCGGAACCTGTTTAGAAATTATAGAGCCTGCACCGGGTTAAGGTTAGACGTGTAACGAGAAAAATCCTTTAAGTAACTACTTACAGTGTTATGAGAGCGGTTGAGTGCGTTTAATGTCTACCCCTAAAGTAAAGACACTGTATGTATTAACCATTGATACCAAAAAATAAATTTGCCTTAAGTATAAATATATGTTAAAATGTATAGTAAAACCATAGGGCGGAGATATTTCAAAAGCTTTAAGAAATTAACCTATCTACAAAGATTTTTTTTATAAAATTAAAGATTATAGTTATTTAATTGAACCGTAACGTGATAATAAACTGAGTTAAACTCGGAATTGTTTACGCTAATTTCTTATAAGCACGGGTGCAAAAACATCTATTTATGCTTAAATTAATAAGCCTTATCTCGGCTTGTAAGATTAATCTTACCGATTATTCGGGCCACTACTAATTGTTCTTAATTACTTCACCTGAACTAAGTACAATTTAGATTTGGTACAAAATTGTAAGTTTGAGGTCACTTCAATATAGAGTATCTACGAAGTCTGAGTTTGAAAACTTATTAAACATTTTCGTGTTTTTAACACTACAATTATTTTTTAATTTTTCAGATGAGGAGTGTGGACTGTCTTATTTTAAGCAGCGCCATCTATTACTTTTTAACAACAACTTGGGCTTCACACAAGCTCTCTATGGAAATAAAATTAGTTTCATTACATATATTTATATAATGAATTTTAAAATATATCTTAAAGACTTACTTTAAAATACTTACATAATATTTTAAAAATAAAGTATTTCTTTACAATTTTAATCCAAGATGAGATTTATGCACGTTATACAAGCTTCACATTTAAAACATTTGATATGCATAAAAACTGGATTTGAATATCTATTAATTATTAGAGCAGGACAATTTAATCTAGCGTATGCGGAAAAACGCGAACAAAACGACGGAAGGCGCTCGTCATCTGAATCGTCCAAAAACCTCAACCAACGGCCTTGTATTGTTTCGCTGGCACTGCGTGAACCCAGTACGATACGACGGGCCCGAATTTATTTTTACTTTTTAATCCCTTTACTTAATTTTATCAAACATGAGTTATGAGAATCCAGACCACACACGCGTCGCGTTAATTACCCGTTAGCTGTTAGCTGGCCAAGTGTATTCTAGTTGGGTGCATTGCTAATGGAAATTCTTACTAGACATTTTTTTCCTACTCGACCTTATTTGTTCCTACCGCTGGCATATTGATTACTATAACTCGTAATTTATTGCAGATTAATACTCTATAGAGTTTTTACGTACTCACACGTACCCAGCAGGTTGAAGTTGCGGTCTGCGACGTGGATAAGTAGGTAATTAATAATCAAATTTCGTACCGTTAGTGGCTACGAAGGAAGCCATTGCTCTTCAAATCACTCCCTTCAATCAAGGCCAACTTTCGTCAGAACACGAAAAACGACGAAAGCTAATTTTTCTTTCGTCAGCAAATTTAACCTAAAAGTTAATATACCCAAACTAGATCGGGTTATTGACCCCGAGCGGCGCCCGCGCCTACATCGGTAGCGTTAAGACGTTGCATGGGCATCCGCAATGTTTTTTATTCCTATTTCTAACGACACACCGCATACGGAATCTCAATAAGGGCGTTGAGCGTTTATTTATTTTCACTCGTATCGAATGATGCGGACTTACTGGCAATAACCCAAGAACTTCACATGTCAATCAGCATAATGGCTTGGAAATAATTTATTTATATTTCATTTTGGAATATCATTAGGCTATCGTCATAATTAGAGGTTGAGATTTGTAATGAGGCAGGTGAATAAATTTTGTACAGTTAAAGTAATAATTACCGCGCATAATGAGAACAGAGCAAAACTGGTGAACAGTGTGTTACATTTTTATTCACGAAATAGTTTTATCTTTTAGGTAATTGTTTATTTGAAATTATTAAAGAAAAATTGGAGATATTGTTTTTGAGGACATTAATTTTATTTTTACTAAATAAATTAAACTTTAATAAATATAAGTAATCAATCGTTTATTTTATTTTATTTACATATTGTAGTAATAACAATTTAATAGCGATGACACAAAAACTGACACACTAATAAGGTGTTAACGAGGGTCGCCGATTTTATGTGATTTTTATTGCCGTTCAAGTGCTCGAGTGCCCCATTTGATTTCCATTCATATTGGTATCTTGTTAGAATATTGTTTCTATTGAAAAAGCGCCATTTTAGGGCTGAGTGTATTAAAGACTTAACTAACCTGCAATAGCCATCCAGGGGTAGAACGTGTGATTGGTGGGTTGATGCTGAACTGGTTGTGCCGCCGCTGCCGAACCTGGTAAGCCGCACTGGTTCCCCCAGGGTAGAGCTCTTCCGGGACTCGAGGATTCGCTGTACCTCGCCTCCGGAGTGCACGCTGCGGGCCGTACCAAGGCCCCGAGACCCGATCCCCACGCTTCCTTCCCTCCGTAACCGTTCTGCTGTTCAGCACCGGCCTTCGAACAGTCCGCTTTGCCGTACTGCTGTTCTCCAGCGTATAATTTACAAGCGGCCGCCACGGATGCGTCGTAAGGTGAGTCCTGCGGTCTGGGCTGGTGCAACGCGTGGGGTTGGGCATAGGTTAAGCCCAGTGGAAACCCACGGTACTGGTCTCCACCGCCGCCGCCCTGGTGCACCCCGTGCGCCCCGTAGAAGCCACCCTGCTCGAAATAGGAGTTCATCGTGCTATCACTGTCACAACGTCACTCAGTTAGGAAGCACTTATGTCATTGCGACCCCACGAACCGTGATAACGCGACCTCGGCCACACCGAATATAGAGTCAATGTTAAACTTTAATTTTATTGCCTATTAAACGTCACTAAAGCGTCATAATGTGCTTCGGCGATAAAGGCCGGTCGATGTTTACTTTTTACGATTATTTTACGAGTCGGGAGCGCGTGCGGTTTTTACGAGTTTTTAAACGGTGCGGTGTGGGTTCAGTGTTTCAGTTTGGGACATGTGGTCGAGCGAAGTTTGCAGTCGCGTCTGGAGCGCGCCACTGTATGGGGGGCGACCGGCGCGACTCGGCTCACGCAATCTACTGAGAACGGAGATACGGCGAGTCCACGCGCGACGCCCCGCGCGCGGCCTGCAGCACCAGCGCTGCCGATTGTTCCGTCCCCTTTTCGCTAATGACTATAAATATTATCAGTCATGCTCTCCTTTCCTTTCTTATCACTCCTGAACACGTGCTTAGACCGCTTCTATCTGACCAATTAGAATCATCAAACGCGACAACGTCATTACTGTACTATATCGCAAATTAATCAAACTACGTTATATATGGTTGTTTTGAGTTCAATCGGCTTCAGATAAGATAAACGCAATAAGTACACAATTAACCGAAAAGGCCCACAAAGGATCGGTAATGATGTCGCCACCGAAGAGCCACAAAAGTCGTAAACTCATAAACGGAGTACAATTAGTGAGACGAGGCGGTAAAGAAAAGATTTTACAACCACTCCACGGTCGGGCCACAATGAGCTCGCAGTATCGTAACAAGGTGCCGAATAGAGTGAGAAGTCGTAAAGATGATTATTATTTCTTCTAGTAGGTACCTGTTTTTACGAGTGGCATTTGCATTTCGCTCCCGCAACGGCGGCGTGAGGTGGTGCGAGCGAGATGGGGCGCTATTTGTGAAACGCGTATTGCGCGGTCGACATAGAGCTGAGTATATCTATCTCTGTTTGGCGCAGTGTGGCGCGTGCATCGCGAGACGCACTATCGAAAGGTAAACAATAGCGCATTATCGCAAAAGCACTCCGCGCGACCAAATGAAGACATCAAACGAATGAATGGCCCACGGTGAGGAGACGGGCTCGCATTTTTATTGCAGTCACCTCTTTAAGCAAATATTTACAGATAAAAAGGGCGGGATGGCTTTCGGTTTTTTTTCTAATCGTTTAATTGGTCAATTTGAGACTGTAGAGATAGCGATGCGTCCTAGGAATTATTTATAAGAGTAAAAGACTTACCGTCTTATCAACATTCCGCGGATTGGAATCGGGGAGGTTTTGCTACGTTTTATACTTTACACAGCTAATCTCACTTTATTGAGTTATATAATTTATTAATCAAGAAAAGAAGACACGTTTTTTTTAACAGAATATCATTGTTTCATTGCAATCTAACTGCATAACCTCTTTTACTTATAATAATAGAAAAATTAGTGGAAATTCGGCTTGCATACCTATCTACTATTATTTTGCTTGGTGTAATCAATCAAATTATTCACTTAGGCATACCCTTCGAAAACACTTGTATTGATTGATGTGACAGATCTTGCATGACGATTTAAAATAACAAAAAAAAATACAGCCCTGCGTCTTCCAAAAGGGCTCTTTCAATATTATATTTTCTATCGCTTAAAGACTTATTCATACCTGAGCTCAAATATAAATATTCATTTCATCGTTGAAGTCGAGTTTTTGAATTACCCTCGTGATGGCTGCTTATTAAGTATTTTTTTTATCATAAATGTTTGACACTAAAGTACATAAGTACAAGAGTAACTGAAGAAAGGGTAAGAAGAGAGTTCTGAAAAAACAATTGTTTACACACGACAAAACGTCAAATCAAATCCGTGACATATAGCAATTCAAAACCTTTAGATAAGCAGATGTAGACAAAGTCGTGGCTACTTAAGGCTGCATTAAAATATTATGTAAATCGTCAGCCTTAGCATACAGGAGGCAAATAAAAACAAGAGTGAAGTGTCTCATTCGCATTCGTGCGACAGATGCGTTGATATTGGCACGGCGAGCGCCCGCGCAGGGCACGCGCCTCGCTCATAAACACGATTTTTACTACCACTTGAACGCTCGTAAACGTCACGTGAATTGCGCCGTTTGTAGAACTCACAGTAAACACCGCTCAGATTATTTCGTATACGCCTCCGGGGCTAAACCTCGATATAAATTCGAAACTTTATGGAGGCAGCCGGCGGACGCACGCGGTTTGTTATTATACCGCTCTTTAGACATTTATTGAACCATTATTGACTTGTTTAAAGTATCAACCGCTTAATAGAGATAAAGGAGTCGTTGATAGTTTATGTCTTTATCGTGTGAGGATATACCTAACGATGTGGTTCGGAGTACTCGAGACGTAGCGTCTAGCTGTCTGCTCCGGCGCGATTGCAGTTTTATGACGGTAATTTTCCTTTTTATAGAAGCTCCATGGCTTTATTGCCCGTTATTTGATTGATATCAATCAATGGGCTTTAATCAGCTGTTATGTGTTTAACTAGATTACTTTATTGTGGACGTGTCATGAGTTGTTATGAGTTTAATTCAATGATCCAACTTTAAATCACCTTTATTAATATTAAGAGAAGTATGTATACTGTCGGAAACATTACAATTATTTATTTATTTGACATGTATTCCTATTATAATAATAATCCTAATAGATAATATCATAAATCTACCTTCGAGGACGAAAGAACCAACGTATTTTACGTAGGTACTTTGAAAATAAAGTAAGTATTAAACAACAAACTCTATAAAAAAGTTAAGATTTAAGTTAAGAAGAAAAAAGTCACATTATTAAGTGATATTTCCTTCCTTTCTTAAGTTCACACTGAAACTCTCTACACTAGCTCCATCTATGATATCTCTCAGACAGCCCTACAGTTAATTTATTAAAATAATATCATTCTTTTACAACTGACTGTTGATAATAAAATAAAAATAAAACAATGACAAAAGAGAATGAATTATTCATTGTATGAAACACAATAATTATCCATTATGAAAGTTTATTTTATGAATTGTGTGATATAGTGACATCTAGCGATTTTAATTGGAAACCGCTAACCATTCCCATAACGCAAGTGTTCATCCCCTAGAAAAAATGTAAGAAAGAAAAACATACATTTTATTTAGATGCTATACCTAATTTCTAAAATAAGAAAATTTTCTCACAATATTTATCAAATGTCGTTGGTTTGATAAAAGCTAAACAAGAATCATCGATAGTATTTAGAAATAACTTAAACGATATTTTTGTAACACTTAAAATAATCAACAATGATTCACATTAATTATTCAAAATATCTCATTTCATTGCTACCGTTATCAAGTGTTACACAATATAATAGCGAAAAGGTGTCATAACAGCCAATGTAGAGACGATAAAGCGATCGTAAAATCTCATTTTATTACTTTATTCATCATTGGGTAATATAAATTCATCAATACACTTGTTAATCGTAAAATAAATCTTACGACATAGTAAAATGTTGTTTAAATAATTGACGACAAGACTTTTATTTTCGTCATAACAATAAAATTTATTGTTATTAGGGTACTTAAACGAGGTATTAAGATGCGCGCCATCTAACGCCTTCTGGTTGTACCACGACGTCATCTTTATAAGCGGTTGTAGCGCCACTTTATGCCATCACAGTAGCTCTGGAGCCGTTTAAATGGTAATAATAATAATTTTTACGAGACAACAAAAAAAGAGACCGAGATAGATTTTAGTTTGTTAAATGAAATTAAATACCCCATGCATTTCAAATGTCTCATTAAAATTCGTTAGAATTTTTATTTTATTTACACCCGAGAGTCTGTAACAGAATTTGTTAGTACAGCACAAAATTACTTTATATATGAAGTAAAATAAAAATTGTTTTATAAAATATAAATAGTACATGTTTTTGGAATTACTTATAAAATATTTAATTCCTCAGTATGTACTCTAATTATTTAAAGGACGTTGATTCAACAATGTCAAGACTACCACTAAACCGCGACGGCTTCGTCCAAATACGATCTTCCCCAACCATTAAAACTAGACTAACTTTGCATAATTGTCTCATTCACGCACAGGAGATCGTTACGATACCACTCAATTATGCTATCTCTTTTCCTCATGATCGTCAAAATGGCCTCCAAACGGGATATTTTGAAGCAACATCGCACACTTTTGTTGCTTGAAATAGGCGGAGCGAACATACAGGGACGAACTAGTTTGTTACATATAAAATAATTCAAATCTGGAGCAGTCATTTTCCTAAAATCCTTTTAAGTTGAATACTAATGTCTTTGACTTAATGTACCTATTAATGCAAACGCAGCATATTTAATATTATACATATTGTAAAAAAATAGTGTATTGACTATTTTGCGAGAAAGTACTTAATTCTTTCCATCTGATACTTCTTATACTGAATTTAACAAAGAGGAATCGATAAATATTTTGTAAGATATATTTATAATACTTTAAGATTCTTATATGTTATTTCACATCATGACTAAATTAAGTTTTAATTTAACATTTCTTAAACTTTAACACAAACACAAGCACAAATTTCACTTTGCATGCTTGTCCACTGCTATCTTGCTAACTTGTAATTTGCGCGTACATCATCTTAAATTACTTAACAAAAATTATTATAGTATATACTAAATAGACGGTATTTTAAAAAAATCTAATTAACTTAAATTTCTTTGACTAAAATCGTAATTTTAACTCTAATTAACTTTATCAAAAAGTAAATAATACCTTAAATTCATTTTTATTAATTTTCATTTCAAGTTCAGCCCTGTAGAATGCCCTGCTCGGATTAAGGATATGGCGACTCATGGTTCGGCGTACAGTGAATATTTGTTATTTTGTGCGATTTTTAAATAACTTAATGATTAGATTTACTTTTAAAGGTGTTATTTCACTAATATGTAAACTAATGTAGTGTTTAAGATGTGTTTTTTATCAATGTAAGTTACGTTTTGCCTCCAATAGCCAGTTTTGAAAAGTGGCGTTGTGTATTGTGTCCGCCATATTGTCAGCGCCTCGTGAGATCTCTCTGTCCCTTTTATATTCAGACTATTGAAAAGAGATGCAGCGTAAGTTGAAATAAAGATTATTTTTAAAACTTTTGGAGCACTTTAACCGTGTTTTTAATATTTTCATTGCCTTAAGAAAAAGGAGAAATACTTATTTCATATCAACAAAACCGTAATTCACAAAATTTATTAAGCTTAGAATTTAAATGAATAGTAGCTACTTAGTTAATATTTACTACAAATAACAACTAGGCTCTAGGTTGAGATAAAGCCAATTTTTATGATCTTAGAAGTCCTTTCATAAATACTAATAGGTAATATAAGTATACCTACTGTGATTATTTGGTTGGTAACTACTTTATAGAAACTAGGTAGGAGGCTAGGCCTGTAGGTATCTACATCATTATAAGTGCCTAAGATAAAATTAACATATAAAATTTACTAACACAACTTAATATTTCAATTATATATTTAACATTTAAAATGCTGTACAAGCATAAAGGTATGTATTTACTAGGTATATCAGTAAAACAAAACCGTTTATTTAACACAAACGCCTAATGTGTCTGGTGTACCTACCTATACCTAATTTTTTTTAATCTACTTGGGCTATTAGTAGGGTAGACATGGATTTACGCTTCTTCTATTTTCAAATATAAACATCGTGAAACAACGTAACATACCGTTAATATGTTGTCGACAACACAAGACCCATGTAAAAAATAAGACAGACCTAAATCTATCGTCATCAGTTTCCCGTGGTGATTTTTCTATCGTCAGTTTTGAGCCAGGATAAAATGTAAATAAAAATAAATATTTCGACGGATATTGGTTGGCACGTGCGCGGGCGCCGCTGCGTGTTAGAATTCAACTCAGACACTCTTTGTTTTAACACGATCAACTGAATAATTTTGTAATTATCGATTCAGTTTATATACATAGATACAATAATGTTCTTATCGTATATATCTAAACAGTGTCTGTAGTTTATGCGTTGATCCATTTAAATAAAACACTTTAAAACGCGATATATTAGTTAAATTATTTTAACTACGGCCCGACGTTTTGAATTCTCTGCAGCAGCCGTGGTCACGGGGGACGTCTTATATCTAATACTTTATTAGATTCTAGCTGTGCCCGCGACTTCGTCCGCGTGGAATAGTGACTTTAGATATAATTTTTAATTATTTAGGCTGTTTATTTATTTATAAAATAGCACACTTACCCCACTCCCACTCCCACCCCCACCCCCGACCCCACTCCCACTCCCACTCCCATTCCCGAAAAGCCAAGAAGAAAGTTTAATTTTTCTATCTTGAAAAATACGAATTTCCATTCAAATTTTCATCCTTTTTAATCCCTAACAACCTTTTTTGGCATTAAAAGTATGTCGTAGTCTATGTCCTTTCTCAGGCTCTAGAATATCTCTGTATCAAGTTTCATTTAAGTCGGTTCAGTAGTATTAGCGTTAAAACCGGACAGGCAAACAAACAGACAGAGTTATTTTCGCATTTATAATATTAGTATAGATAAAATGCAGCAGTAAGAAATAGTTAATATATACAATAATTTAAGTCAAGGAATTTTAAATAAGAATATTTGAGCTAAATATTGCCATTCATAAGTAGATAGAAAGAGTAAAAAAAATATTTAAGCTTTTTGTTTTCCCTTAACAATATAATAAGCGATAAACCAAAACGACCTCATTTAGTGCTACTTATTCCTCATTTAGGAATTAGTAGCACTATAACTATTAAGTATATGCACTGCAATTTTTTTAATACCTAATGTATTAAAAAATGCAGTGCCGTTGTTCTTTCCATATGGTAGATATATAGAAAGAACAGCCACACTACAATTTTTCACCTATAGTTAAAAAGTAAAGTTGTTAATGGATTGCTTAGTAAAAGAATTTCTAATGTTTTAAAAACATTTAGTGGAATGTAGTTGACTTAATATCATGATCGCAGAGTCTTAACTGTCATATTTAACTAAATAATTGT